AGATAGCAACATGCCAGAAACCATATTTCATTAATTTATTGGGGTACTGGTTGTTGTATGATCAAGTGATGTCTGGGATAGAAGGAAGCTGACTTTGAACAGGAGTGTAAAAGACAGTCTAGTAAGAAATTCTGTATTGATCCCAGAATGTGGGATCTGATTAGCAATTTAGTTATTTTCTATTGTCAACAAAAATAATAATTTATCATCCTTTTCAGTGACAGCAATTCACTGAGAGACAAAAAAGAAATCTCACAACTTATTTGTCTCACTAGAACAAATCTGAACTCCAGCAAGCAGCTGGGGGGTGGGGGGAGGCAGAAACCACTGTTATTGACTAACAAAGGACAGGTTACTAAAACGTTAGGTTTCAAAAACTGAAATGATCTGTCAGTCATCTGAAAAGTAGCATGCCATCTTGTTCTCTGTGTGTAATGTGACTTTTTGGTTTGAAAGGGACAGACTCGCTAAATACTGCTTCATTTGAGACCATTATTTTAGACAGATCTAAAGGAATGATTTAAAGTTACAATTTTACCTTTGGTGTTTCTGGTTTAAGCCATCACTTCTACTATTTAGTCAAGTATCCTTAGAATTTCCACAGTAAAGGACATAAGACTGGACCCTGAATAATCTTTTCTGGGCTTTCTTTGCACACTTTTGGGGCAGAGCTGACCCCAACCTCTTAAACACCCACACCAAGACCCATCTGCAAGAGCATTTGGCTGGCCTGTGGAGACTTCATTTGGAGCAATCTTTATCCTCAGCAATGAAATTCAGAAAGGAATTCTTTAACCATGAGGAAACAGGGAGAGCACACAGTTTGTACCCTCCCATATTCATACACAACATGTTGATGAGTTTGAGTAGAAAAAATGAGATTAATTCTGTTTTGGGTAGTGGGGTAGATCCAGTCTCCTGAAATCTGGCCAGTGAATTGGGGATTTGCTCAGAATGGGAGAGACCAGTAAGTCAGCAGAGAGACCAAGTCACCAGGGTCTTTTTATAGCACTGTGGTTTTTTTTTTTATGATGAGATGTTTGTCTTAAGTTAACATCCCAAATAGAGGTTAAAAAGCAGGGCAGCACAGGAGTTTGTTCTTCTGTCTTGTGGATGAGCACTTAATACTGGGCTTTGTGCAAGGCTCATGTCAGCAGCTGGGCTCCCACTCAGACCTCACAGGTGCTCACCAGTCTGGTTTGGAAATCTTCATGTGAACTTAACTACTGAGGTGTTTGGTGTTTATGTCCAGTAATGACACTGGACTGGAGAAATATGGGTACTTTAGGAATTAGGTTGATTCCAGGCCTTGGAGCTGTAACTAGTGGTTACTACCAGCCTATCTGACTTTAAAGCCTTGTTCAGACACAAGTAGGATGAGGAAAATAATCTTATGCTTTAGAAGGTAAACTAATAAGTAGAGGTACAAGGACAAAGTTAAAACTCAGTCTACAAAAGAAAGGATGGGACAGCTCAGTCAAGATTTAAGTGAAGATGTGAGCCTTATTATGAGTTAAGTTATATTTCTGTGCTATCTCCTTACAAAAAAGTTCTCCATCTCTAAAAAAATATAATCATTAAACAATATATATGCTAATTTCCTACAATGATAGCATTTTTGTCATTTCTTATCAACTCCAGGAAAGGACTTGCACTATGACAGATCTATAGTGTCTATGTGCCCTGGAGGAAATCAGCATGACATTACAATTTATGTTAATATTTGTTTCAATTCCCAAATATTTGCTGGGGTTTTTTTCTTTGAAAATCTGGGAAAA